CCTATGTCCAGGGCACTAAGTACTATATAATGCCACATCGAGTCAGGATATATGCCCTATGTCAAAGGCACTAAGTACTATATAATGCCACATCGAGTCAGGATATATGCCCTATGTCAAAGGCACTAAGTGTAATACAATGCCACATCGAGTCAGGATATATGGCCTATGTCAAAGGCACTAAGTGTAATACAATGCCACATCGAGTCAGGATATATGCCCTATGTCAAAGGCACTAAGTGTAATACAGTGCCACATCGAGTCAGGATATATGCCCTATGTCAAAGGCACTAAGTACTATATAATGCCACATCGAGTCAGGATATATGCCCTATGTCAAAGGCACTAAGTGTAATACAATGCCACATCGAGTCAGGATATATGGCCTATGTCAAAGGCACTAAGTATAATACAATGCCACATCGAGTCAGGATATATGCCCTATGTCAAAGGCACTAAGTGTAATACAATGCCACATCGAGTCAGGATATATGCCCTATGTCAAAGGCACTAAGTGTAATACAATGCCACATCGAGTCAGGATATATGCCCTATGTCAAAGGCACTAAGTGTAATACAATGCCACATCGAGTCAGGATATATGGCCTATGTCAAAGGCACTAAGTACTATATAATGCCACATCGAGTCAGGATATATGCCCTATGTCAAAGGCACTAAGTGTAATACAATGCCACATCGAATCAGGATAAATGCCCTATGTCAAAGCCACATCGTGCCCCAGCACAACCGAAACCCTGGACCATGCATTCCCTCCGTGCACATAGGTAGGGGGGGTCATTCTTGAATTTGACACTTTAGTGAATCCGTCGTCAAATCGCTCTGAGCCATCAGCCATATTCATTATCCACAGTCACACATCACCTCTCCAGTCTTGCTTCAATGTAGTATTTGTGATCAGATTGGGAATGCGTCGTCTACATCGCATAACCGTCTGAGGACTGTCGGCATGCTTCAAACCGGTAGAACTCAGCGACAGGTAGCCAATATGTTCAATGCATCTCACTCTGTGATTTGCAGACCCTGGGTCAGGTTTCTGCAGACACAAAATGTTAGTGATCGGCCCCGCACGGGGCACCTGAACATAACAAAACAATTCAGGATCGATAAATCAGAAATCAGGAATGGCATGGCCAGCCATGATCGGAAGACGTGTTTGCTGACGTCAAAAAACGCCCGCTACGTTAGCCGAACCGGGCCATGCACTGCTAGAGGACTGATCAAGACTCTCTCAAAACGTTTGACCAATCGTGGGGGCATGACCCATTATTGATCAAGTCATATCAGTTGCTAACTGTTTTACTACACGTCCTGGGGTTCTGGGTTGTTTGCACCCTTGCAAATCACGGCCAACTCGTTCTGTTGTTTGGTATGTTACACCTGATCCTTCCGTTTTCTGATCCATCGATTACCACTACTCGATGCCTCTTTGTATTTCTGTAATTATCTGTTATTTTCGAAAAGCCCCAAGACCGCCTCCGTGGTCTAGTAGATAGAGCCTATGCCCGAAGAGTGGGAGGTCGCGGATTCGATCCCTGGCCGCGTCATACAAAAAAAGTTAAAGGTATTACTTGTTCTTACCCTGCCGGCGGCTAGGAGTCAATACCTTATACCGCAATGGGTCATTCATGATAAAGGGGCGGTCGGGTAGCCTAGTGGTTAAAACGTTCGCTCGTTACGCCGAAGACCCGGGTTCGATTCCCGACATGGGTACAATGTGTGAAGCCCATTTCTGGTGTCCCCCGCCATTATATTGCTGGAATATTGCTAAAAGCGGCGTAAAACCATACTCTCTCACTCACTCATTCATGATACACTGCGGCATGCTGTCTCAGTGGACCAGCTCTATAACCCCCACTTCTCCTCAGCTCAGAAAAGCCCCGGCTGTTTCGGAGAGTGTTGGTGTTGTGTATTATTGAAGCACTCGTACAATAACGTTTGACTCCTTGTATTCTAACATTTTCTGATGAATGGTGACATGTTTTTAACACGTACATTTCCGCAGAGTTGTGTCCATTATATTGTGTTGTAGTAAAGTTAAACCTGAAATAATGCTTCGAATACTTCGCCTCATGTATCAGACACAGTCCAAGGGAGACAACTGCTAGGTCGAACGATTACTTGAATTAACAGAGACTGTAGTCTGGCTGTGAGAGGGTACACACCTGTCTCCCTCACACACGCAGGGCACGCACAGACACGCAGGCACACATAAACGCAGGAACACACGCACGATTTCCGCGCGTCTAGCCCAATTTGTAACAAAATCTTTACATATTGTGCATGCTCTTCAAGCCTTCTGCTGTTTTTCAAGTTCATTGTTGTTTTACATATTGGCAAAAAATATTGACTATTCACAGCTGGCCAGGTTCCTGCAGCAAAATGACAATGTTTTCGTTGTAGCCGGCAGATAATTCGCAATATATATTTTCTTAAATACAATGAAATAGATACAGTACAAATGTATTTTATCATAACATTATTAAAAAATTAACATATATTAATCTGTAAAGAAGACAATTTATGATACACTGATAAAAAAACCCTTAAAAACACAAGTTCAAACTAAATCAATGCAAAACACATCGTCCAAACACAACAATGTTCCATGCAGAAAGTGATACTCGGCAGCGGCACGTGTGTGTTTGTTTATTTTTGTAGAAAATGCAGCCGAAACTACACGAGAATTAAGGGTACATCAATTATACGGACGGCATGTCAGACACTCACAATGATAAAACACCACAGAAATGACGACACCCGAACCACATTCGATTCCCGACCCGGGTTCGATTCCCGACATGGGTACAATGTGTGAAGCCCATTTCTGGTGTCCCCCGCCATGATATTGCTGGAGTATTGCTAAAAGCGGCGTAAAACCATACTCACTCACTCACTCACTCACTACAGCCAAAGGGGAGAACGAAAGGGCGGCATGTTGCGTTCAGGAGGTCTTGCCGTATGTTGGCGGGGGCGTTATGGTGTGGGGAGGAATTTGTGGGCAGGTGAGAACACCACTGATCATTGTTAACGGACATTTGACAGCTCAGCATGACATGGATGTCATTGATATTCTTCGTCCGATTGTCCTACGATTCCGATTCGAACAGAACTTCCTTGCAGCCAACAACGTCAACGTGTTACCGTGGCCTGCACGCTCCCCAGACTTGTCCCCCATACAACACCTCTGGGATGTCTTGAATCGTCCTGTTCGACAGAGACGGCATCCGCTAGGGAACCGACAAGAAGTGATCTCGGCCCTCCAGGAAGATTGGCGACGTATCCCACGTGACGTCATCATCTTCTCCGGAGAGTTTTTGCGTCTTTTCAAATTAAATTAAATCGAACACCTCGCAATATTCTCCTAACAACTTAATTCCGTTACGGGTGAGTGAGTGTGGTTTGACGCCGCTTTTAGCAATATTCCAGTCAATTCACGGCAGGGAAACCAGAAACATCGGTGTCAGTATATCGTGAATAACAAGGTAAATATTCTCTATATTTAACAGCATCGTTTAAAAATAGCATTAAAGATTTCAGCTCATCGAAACAGTGGAATCGTTCTTTGGATGGAGGGGCGCTCGGCTAGCCTAGTGGTTAAAGCGTTAGCTCGTCACGCCGAAGACCCGGGTTCGATTCCCGACATGGGTACAATGTGTGAAGCCCATTTCTGGTGTTCCCCGCCGTGATATTGCTGGAATATTGCTAAAAGCGGCGTAAAACAATACTCACTCACTCACTCACTCTTTGGATGGATACAGAATCTGTTCTTCAATAGTCAGGAGGTGGACAACCCAGGTTTGGAGTGTTGAAGATCTGCTATTTCAGATGCATTACAATGTATAGGTGCAGAGACATTCGTGCACTGAGATGCCATTTAGTCCGTCTGAATTAATACCGATATGAGGTACCCAGTCTTGAGCTGGAAAAATTGAATATACACAAATAAACTTGATAGAGTTGTGCTTCTATGAGTATTCTAAACTTGATATGTGTCATAACGAGTGCTAGCTGTATCGATCTGTATCGATCGATCACCATTGTTGAAAGCATATGTCTTTTAAACCTGCTTCAACAATCCAATTGTAAGGCGTCTGTACACTCAACTTTCTGATTTTGCAAGCATACCAAGTCCTGAATTGTACAGCTCTTAACACCAACTGAATAGAGATGAAACGGGATGCGTGATCACCGGGAGTGAGTGAGTGAGTTGAGTTTAACGCCGCTTTTAACTGTATTCCAGTTATATCACGGCGTGTCAGCTTAATGTAGGAGGAAAGCCCAAGTGATGCAGGTCTCAGACGTTTACCACTTCGGTGAAACCCACGAACACGGGTATGGTGATGACAAACCTAGAAACATAATTGGGGAGAACCGGGATTCGAACCCACAATCATAGGTTTCTGTCTTGCCCAAGGGCGCAACTCTGCACAGTGAATCGCGGCGCCTTAGACGACTGGGCCACCCGTGCCCCCGTGATCACCGGGACATAACTACAGCCTACACAAGTTGGATTAGAACCACTGACTACTGGACATTCAGACATCTTCAGAACCCTGAGGTATACCGCCGTGGTGTTTGTGAAATGGAATGTAACGCGGTTATACCTGGACCTCACGCAGACCGACTCACTTGCGCATTGGAGAACAATCCGTGTGATTATTTTGTGAATTTCTCCAAAGATGTGCTTCTGTACACTAACACAAACAGTAAGAGCTAGACCTTACTATTAAGTGAAATCTGCCGAATATGTATGCATGCTTTGACTCGTGAGTGCCTGTAAGAGCCCAGACCCGCACCAAGCTGTGCCTAACCAAACATCGGGATTTATAAAAAAAATTATTTATGAACATTTATCAAAAACTTGAGCATATCTTGAGCAATGTCATAGCCTCATGTAAGGAGTCAGGATATTTATTACATGTGCTTGTCGTTTTCAAGTCACAGGCTTTCCGATATCGCTGTTTATCGGCTAAACAGATCGATAGATTAAACATTTCGACCGAGCTTGAAGCTGTGCAGTAACGAATGTGTATTTAGATTACAAAGATATTCTGTGACATGTCACACGTCGCCAAGATAACACGAAGCAGCGTCTGAGGGAATACAGGACTCTAGTGTAAGGTACTGTGATTTGTGTGGGATGTACACGTTGTATATTGTGTCTATCGCATTATCTATCATTCACTGAGACAGTAGATGTTGATGTTTACCAGATTGGTTGATTGTGATATATTGCCGTTTGCTGGAGAGGTTGGTGTCCTGCCGTTTACTGTAAAAGTAGAATTCTTGTTTACTGTAAAAGTTGATGTCTTGTTTACTAGAGAGGTTAATGTCCTGCCGTTTACTGGAGAGTTTGATGTCTTGTTTACTGGAGAGGTTAATGGCCTGCCGTTTACGGGAAAGGTTAATGTCCTGCCATTTACTGGAGTGGTTAATGTCCTGCCGTTTACTGGAGAGGTTAATGTCCTGCCGTTTACTGGAGAGGTTAATGTCCTGTCGTTTACTGGAGAGGTTAATGTCCTGTCGTTAACTGGAGAGGTTAATGTCCTGTCGTTTACTGGAGAGGTAAATGTTCTGCCGTTTACTGGAGAGGTTAATGTCCTCCCGCTTACTGGAGAGGTTAATGTCCTGTCGTTTTACTGGAGAGGTTAATGTCCTGTCGTTTACTGGAGAGGTTAATGTCCTGCCGTTTACTGGAGAGGTTAATGTCCTGCCGTTTACTGGAGAGGTTAATGTCCTGTCGTTTACTGGAGGGGTTAAGGTCCTGTCGTTCACTGGAAAGGTTAATGTCCTGTCGTTTACTGGAGAGGTTAATGTCCCGTCGTTTACTGGAGAGGTTAATGTCCCGTCGTTTACTGGAGAGGTTAATGTCCTGTCGTTTACTGGAGAGGTTAATGTCCTGTCGTTTACTGGAGAGGTTAATGTCCTGTCGTTTACTGGAGAGGTTAATGTCCTGCCGTTTACTGGAGAGGTTAATGTCCTGCCGTTTACTGGAGAGGTTGGTGTCTTGTTTACTAGAGAGGTTAATGTACTGTCGTTTACTGAAGAGGTTAATGTCCTGTCGTTAACTGGAGAGGTTAATGTCCTGTCGTTTACTGGAGTGGTTAATGTCCTGCCGTTTACTGGAGAGGTAAATGTCCTGCCGTTTACTGGAGAGGTTAATGTCCCGCCGTTTACTGGAAAAGGTTAATGTCCTGCCGTTTACTGGAGAGGTTAATGTCCTGTCGTTTACTGGAGAGGTTAATGTCCTGTCGTTTACTGGAGAGGTTAATGTCCTGCCGTTTACTGGAGAGGTTAATGTCCTGTCGTTTACCGGAGAGGTTAATGTACTGTCGTTTACTGGAGAGGTTAATGTCCTGTCGTTTACTGGAGAGGTTAATGTCCTGTCGTTTACTGGAGAGGTTAATGTCCCGTCGTTTACTGGAGAGGTTAATGTCCTGTCGATTACTGGAGAGGTAAATGTCCTGTCGTTTACTGGAGAGGTTAATGTCCTGCCGTTTACTGGAGAGGTTAATGTCCTGTCGTTTACTGGAGAGGTTAATGTCCTGTCGTTTATTGGAGAGGTTAATGTCCTGCCGTTTTACTGGAGAGGTTAATGTCCTGCCGTTTACTGGAGAGGTAAATGTCCTGTCGTTTACTGGAGAGGTTAATGTCCTGCCGTTTACTGGAGAGGTTAATGTCCTGCCGTTAACTGGAAAGGTTGGTGTCTTGCCGTTCACAAAATAGGTTGAATATCTTGCCGCTTGCTATGAAATATTAGATGACTTGCTGCTTTCTAGATATGATGTCTTTTTCTAACTAGTAAGGATCTATGATTGATTTTCTATTTGGGAAATAGAGCACTTACTCTTCAAAATAACGGCTTGCGTCTTCACGCTTTCTATGAAAGGTTTCCTTGCCGTTTAAGTTTGGAGATTGGATGTCACTCTATGTACTGGAGAGTTGTATGTCCTGTTGGAACGTTTGACAAACGCCTGATGAATATGCCATGCCGAGAAGCGTGGGCTTTAATGGTAAAGGTGTGAGAGGCGGTTGCTACCGGTAGAGCAGGACATGCTAGCTCTTGTCGCGACCACCTTGTGTCATCAATGATTTTAAGTGATCAATTCACGCCCTATGGAATCTGCTTCGGAAGATATTCGGAACTGATTATTCTCTAGCGTTGACGTTTTGAATTCAGGATTCTGCTGACAAATAACTAGGCAGGTGTGAGATTGTGACCATACCCCAAGATAGGCGTGTCCACCAACTATTGGTTTCATGCATCCTTAAATCAATGTCACCCCCACTGTCCCAACGATACCATGAGAATACAGAACAGCATGCATTTTAACATGTTACATACTTTTGAAGATATTGAAAAGACTTGGCTCAAATCCCGGACCATGGGAAATGTCATTTCAGTAGCTTGTCAGTCCCCTTGTTGTGCAGTCTATTTACTTTTGAAAATCCAGGACAATTGAACAAATATGTGTGAT